CACACCTTTCGTTTACTCTTCCCTCTCCTAAATCCCCCTTTACACACTAATAAACTTATTTATCCCAATTACTTTCGCGCGCTCATATGAGGATACTCGCTAAATTAATCACATTAGAAACGGTTTTATCGACGCAAGGCAAAATTCAGAGTCCTGAGCAGACCTATGCTCCTCTCCACTTTCATGTCATTCTTCTCCTTTCTACATTGAAATTAGAATTGTCAGACGGTATGAACACAACGAGGACTCACTTTCCTTCACACATAAATGCTGAGTTTCCGGACGAGTGGCTTCAATTTATCGCACTGACTCCGAGTGATCCCAATAGGATGACTCAACGTCACCTCTTCCAACCCGTTCAATATTTTGGAAGTTGGGTCATCTAGCGGGCCACTTATAAGAGAGACAAGAGCTTCACCATCAAGAAAGCTGTACAGGAACTTGACGGTTTGAAGCGCTTGTGTCTCGGCTGCCAATTGTCTGAGTGCTCCGACCGCCCCAAGTGATCCATCGCTCGTGGCTGGCTGCCTCCAGTTCTCAAACTCAACATGGTGAAGTCGGCGGTACACATTCTTTGTATTATCCATAAAGGAAAATTTAAGATCTTGAAGGTTGGGAGGTCCATAGAGAATTAGGTTATTCACCGACGAGCCATGTAAGTAATTAAGGAGATATGCACCAGGGAAAGTGATTCCCAGAGTCTTTAGCTTCGGAAGGTTTATGTTTTGATTGACCAATGGAAGCATTTCACCCTCTTCGTGACGAAGGTAGAGTTCCGTGAGTGAGGGAGGCAGCAAGGTACTTGCCTGAAAGTCACCGGGAAACGTCTTGACGAATATCCTGAGTATAGATAACTGCGGGAACAATGAGCTGAAAGTGTTGCCTGGTAGGGCAGTCGGGTTATCGTTAAGGAGCGTAAGGGATTTGATTGTAGAGAAGCTGGACAGACAATGGAGACGAAAGCCGTAGTTGACAGGGAAGCTCGAGGAAAGTATGATGGAAGATGGATTTTTCAAAGGAAAGTAAGATATTCGACCCGCGACGTCCGGAATATCGCCTTTCATGTCAACAAAAAGCTGATATGTATTTTCACGAATGAGTATTTTTGGGTCAGGGGATATTGTTTGCAACCAGTTGACCAAGACTGTATTCTTATATCGTTTATCAGGATAATAGGAATGTCTGAAATAATGATGGAGGTTGGTCATAATCTTCCAAGGGAATTTCCCCCGTTTACCGATCTCAGCAACTAGGTTATACTCCCCGTGAGTCCATACCTTTGTAGGGCCTACATAGGCCATGTTGCTGAGATTTGGCTCGTTATGTATGATTTTTCTCCATAGCCTACAAACTTGAGCAAGTGATATGGACGGAAGGCGTAGCTCCCAGTTTCTGTTAGCGGACGGTTGATAAGATATCGTCTCTTCAATAACGAATGTGAATATCGCGACCCAAGCTTCGTAAGGGATTCTCCTAACTGGCCGGAATACTTCTTTTACTTCTCTCATCTCCTCTTCTACGGCTTCTTTGTTGGCATTGAGGTTCCGTAGGGCCTTGGTGGATAAATTCTTCGAAAATTTCCAGCCTTCCAGTTCTAGCTCGAGTTCCCGTACCTTGTCCCACAGGTTACGGACTATTATTTGCATCTTCAGTATTCGATCATCCATTACCTCCTTTGCTTCATATACAGGAGCCGTGACATATTCGATGAGGCCCGAGTACAGGGATTGAGATAATGTTTCTGTCTTCATATCGGCCTTGCCGATGCCATCTAATTCACTCAAGCTATTTAGAGCCTTCAGCAATGCTCCAAGGTGATCTTCATAGATTTGGAGTGCTTTTTTTCCTTCAGGGATTGCAGCTTCCAGGTTTGTGATGGCATTTTGACAGACAGTGTATCGGTCTTCCTCTTTTGAGATGCTCGAAAGTAATTGGGATAAATAAGTTTATTAGTGTGTAAAGGGGGATTTAGGAGAGGGAAGAGTAAACGAAAGGTGTGAGGTGAGAGGATAAATGATGTTTCGTGTCCGTGAAAAGAAAAGTCCATTAGAATCTCTGGGTAATAGGATGGAACCCTGAGCGAGGTAAAGAAGCACATGTATTCTAGCATGGGGACTGTTAGCCTAACTACCGAAGGAAAGTGCTACTTTGAGGCGGCCATTAATACCCAGTGGTGTATGGAGTGCTGTACGGGGTGCTGTATGAGGTGCTGTACGGGGTGCTATACTGTTCCCAGATAGCTGCATAGCGGTCTTCATAGTTGATAGTGTACCCGCTGATGACCCTAGGGACATAACCTTGGCTAGTGTAATTGTCGGACGCGGATTGGTATTCGGTAGCAGTCAAACCGTGGCGGGCAACCCAGGCAGGTCCTTCCTTCTTCTCCCAGATGGCAGCATAGTAGTCGACATCGTTGATACCGGATCCACTGACCAAGACGAGCCTGTATCCTTGACTGGTGTAGTTGTCATATTCTTGTTGGTACTGGGCAGAGGTGAGACCGTGACGAGCAACCCATTCTGAAGTGTCGTCGCTCTTCTCCCAGATGGCGGCGTAGTAGGGGTCGGTTCCGATGGCGTAGCTACTGACGTGCCTCAACCTGTATCCTTGTTGATAGTAGTTGTCAAAGGCAGTCTGATACTCGGAAGCCGTCATACGATGCCTAGCCACCCATTCGCCCGAAGTAGACTTGTCCCAGATTGCGACGTAGCGGTCTTCGCCACCGACGGTGTATCCGTTAATGAGAACGAGACGATAACCTTCTGAGCCATAGTTGTTGTATGCAGTTTGGTACTCGTCAGAGGTCATACCGTGCTTGGCTGTCCATTCGGGAGATTCCTTTTTCTCCCAGACGGCAGCGTAGCGAGGGTCGTTGTTGACAGTATAACCACTGACGTAGTTGAGACGGTAGCCTTGACCAACAAGGTCGGTGAAAGTGGTTTGATACTGGTCAGCGGTCAACCCGTGGCGGGCTTCCCAAGGATAGGTGGGAGTGGGAGCAGCGAAAGCCACAAAGGACGCGACGGCCCAAGTGACGAGGACTTTGAGAAGGAAAGCCATGATATGAAGTGCGAGAAGAGGGTTTGTTCGAGTTGATGGAGGATCATCTGGCTTTCTGGTGGAGCATTTATAGCAAAGTTGTGGGTGTACGTCAGCAATGCGTTGTGGATGGCAGTGACCATGGACAGTGGCCCAAACTGTCAAAATTCGAAAGTTAAAAGCATTCAGGGCCCGTGATCTGAATTCAAGAATTCATCGCATTCGGGCTATCAGGAGACTATGATACTGGACTTGGGTGGCTGGGGGGAGGGGATATTGTTTGCAACCAGTTGACCAAGACTGTATTCTTATATCGTTTATCAGGATAATAGGAATGTCTGAAAT